GAGTTTCTCTGGCTGTTTAATGGGCAAAAGTAAACACACACACACACACACACACACACACACACACACACACACACACACACACACCATTCCTAGAAATATGATTTAAAAATTTTCTTTGTAACATTTACATAATTTGGCAAATGACAGAGAGAGAACAAGGGCCAAAGCTGCCAAAAGCTACATTCACTGCGTGGGCACAATTTAGAAAAGTGTCCCTCCAATAACCAAACTCCATCAGAGACTTAGTCCTCATTAGTTATTATTTCCTGGTGATTCTACACATCCTCAGAACCTCATGGGGTTTTACAGGTCACAGGGCCTTACGTGACCCCATGCCTTTTAGTTGTCCGTCACTGATTCAAAAATATATCCAGATATTTCTTTAGATTTAGACTTGATTTTGGAGTGTTCACTTATTTAGCTAAGGTAAATAAAGCTCACACAAATCCTCTGAGAACATCACAGTAGTACAAGTTAATCCTGGTTATAGTTGTTTGCAGTAAGGAAAACAGTGGGATTAGCAAACAAGGAAGTGTTGATTTCAAAGGTTGCCAGTACATTTCCACAAGCCATGTGACAGGCACAGTCTTCTGCAGAGAGAGAGGGGGAGGGAGAGAGTGGAAGAGCTATTAGATGATGTAATATTGTTTTGTAGGAACTAATCTTCTTTATTAGGATGTTTGGAGCATTATAATTACCTCAGGCCGGACTGTCTGGGCATGATTGATCCTCTCCTGAAGATAAACAGCAAAAAGATTCAATATCAAAGTCTGGATGAAATCTCATAGAGTGGATTCAAAACAAAAAGTAACAAAAGTTGTATAATACACTGTTTTAGAGTCAAAATACTGTAATTTAGACATACCTTGCTCAACAGGTGAGTCACATGTGTCAACCGGCTGATGGTCACCTGGAAAAAAATAAAAACATTTAACTGCGAGTTACATTGGGGTGGGTGTAAAACCATCAATATAATAAGAGAGTTGTTGACGTAAGCATAGGCAGATTCCCAGCAGTGAGTTTCCAAACATGAGTCAGGTTTTATCATGAGTGGAAAAACTGATTGGTACCCAAGCTGAGTTTAGCACAAACCATGGAAAACGTACTAAATACATATATACATGTATTTACGTATATACATTATATAAATACATTACACATCTGAAGGCCAGAGGAAAGCAAGAGAGCGAATTAGACATGAAAATACAAAGTTCATGCAGAGACAGGAAACGTTCTTGGTCACTGATAAACATGTCCTCAAGCAGAACAATGAGCAAGGTTAAAAGCTCAGCGGGAGACAACCTTCCCTAGCTTGGAATGTGACCTGTCTGTGGTGAGTGTCTTTGGTTTGATGTTTGGCTCAAAATATGCAGTCCAGGAGGCTACTGAACACTTATTAATCAGTTAAATATAATAAATACAAACTAAGGTAATTTAAAAACAATGTTTAATATATTTTTAGCTCACTACACCACTGACTTATCTGTCCGAATTTCTGTTGCAGATATTTAGTGATTCAAGCAGCTCAAATATGCTGATAGATAGGAAAATCAACAGAGATGATTAGAACCTCTAAAGTAAGTCAAGGTGAGCATACCCATAATAAGGGGTCGTGTGGAGAACCTCCGGACCACTGTCAAGGAAATGATGAATGAATTAAAATCAGATCTATTTGAATCACAACACTTACGCAAGACCCTTTCGTACAATGGGAACAATGGAAAATACTCAACCAGTTTAGACTGACAGGTTTGCAGTTGCTACGCAGTTGGATTCAAGCCAACAATAAAACAGTGTACTTTCCCCATCCTGATTAACTTGTCTACTTTTACAGGTTTTTCCACCTCCAACCATTGTGGCGTTACCTTTTATCTATTTTAAGAATATTTCCTGTCAGCGCTTTATTGTTTACAGAAAGTCACTGAGGTAATCTGACCCAACATTACAGAATGGTAGCATTATATGGTCATATTGAAAATATAAGTATATACCTCGATCAAATATCACAGTAAAAGGGCTGGAGTGTTTGTATAGTCTCTATCAGTAATACTGCAACTACTCACACCTGCTTATCACAAATAAAAGGACATTATGAATGATAAAGCAAGCAAAACGATCAATGCTCAATTGTTATCCAAATTGATCACCAGTTAATCGTTTTCTTTCCATAGTGTTAGATAACGTTATATACTTTTAGGGATGCACAGTATGTTCTTTCAGCTGACAAGGATTTCTTAATGATACATACTTATACGAATGTACCACTTTTGGTCAACACTGATCATACATCTCTAATACATTTAGCAGACACTTTGTTCAAAGTGGCTTACACTACGTAGTACATACTTCTGTATTATTTGTGGCTGTCTCGTGTAGACTATGGATGTGGTACATTTGTTTGCTTCTTGTTTTATTAAAGGAAGCAGGAAATCCTACATTTAACTGGCGAGGTCTGTTTTTCTACCCTGTACTTTTTCATGCGTCATGTTAATCCTCAATAAAAAATCCTATGGTTAATATTAACCGAAAGACAAGCAAGTGCATGTGACTGTACTCACGTTGAGATCGCCTTTTGTAAAGCAGCAGCATCAGCAGCAGCAACCCTACGATCAGGGATCCGATGACCACCAGAGGAGCGACTACTTTGGTGGTGCCATCCACCTTATTCCCTTCTGAATAAAACCAAGAAAGATACAATGTGTTAATACTTTAACTCATGAACAAAAACAGTGAGCTTCTATTGGTAAAATCAGACTGGTTGGATGTCCACCCTATATTACTCTAGCAAACTACTTTCACTTGCACTTTAGTTTCCAATGTGGTCTGCACAATTTGGCCATAGGAAAATGACTGTCAGTTCTTTTGGAAGGGTTTTCAGTTAATGATAATAAATAAAACTGAAGAAAAGCTGTAGTTCAACAACACAAAAAGCATTAACCGGTAGCCTGGACTGTCAAGCATAGCTTTCTTTGTTTGTGAGGGGCAATGTTTTGGAGTTTTCCGTAACATGACAGTTCAGGATACAAGACATGTTCACATTGTCACAGCCTGTCTACTTAGTGAATTATGAAGCAAAACAACTGAAGCAGAGATGTGTTGTGATAAATAAATACAACTGTATGACCCACCTGCCAATAACAAGCCTATTAAAACTACATTTTACACGTTTTGTTGCTGTGGGATAATTCAGTCCTCTGTCACGCTCTGCAGCCACACAAATAAGATAAGATAATATAAGATAAGATGGACCTTTATTAATCCCTGCGGGGAAATTCAGTAGTTTAAGAGCAACAGGGTAGGATTGAAAAACAGGACAGCACAGATTCACACAATTAAGGATAGAATCAAAGATACAAATGATAAAATAACTATAAAATAAGGAATGAATTAAAATTGGTCATGTGTACATAATATTTACGTGTGTGTGAAAACAGTGTGTATTTTATGTTATTAAAATAATGCACCAAGTTGGCTTGGGGTTCAAAGTCCTTTTTAGTTGTGCAATTATTATTGAAGGTCTGTTTATGCAACTCCAGTTATAGTCATTGCTTTCAGACTTCAAGTAAATCGAGACCTCAGATGTAATAGTGGCTGAAATGTTTGTATGGCATTTCCTTGTGTGAAGAACAAGTGAACCAAAAGGCCTAAAAGGTATGAAGTGAGGTAATCAGCAGCAAATACCTCTCTTTTCTGGCTCTTGTACTGTATATGTGGCCTCTTCCTCTTTTCCTCCACTGACATTAAACACTTTGCAAGTGTAGCTGGAGAAAGTAGATCCGTCCATCAAAGTCATCTTACTGGAGAGGTTAAACAGACCACTTTCAATCTTCTTCGCCTCCATTTGAGAGCTTTTGGTCCACTCTGTGCCGAACTCATCAAACCAGCGAAGTTGACCTTCTGGATAGCCACTGTCGGACTCGCACATCAGGGTACTTGTCCGAGGGTCTAATTTTATAGCTGGTTTGTTGTACTTGGCTGTAAAGGATAGAGGGAGGAAAAACATGATCATAAAGCCGAACCTTGCCCCATCATAAAATGACACAATTGAAATATCAAGAACATTTTTGTTGATCCTTATATTCTAAAAGAAGTATAACGTGCAGTATGTGGTAAGCAGCAATAAATATGAAACTGAAAGTAACTAAAAACAGCAAAGGGAATACCAATCAGATAAGCCAGGAAAGTACCCTGGATCTCTGAATTGTCTCAAGTATCAAGACAGCAATTACGTATTACAAATGCGTGTTCTGTTAGCAAGCAGAATAAACAAATGTTTAGAGAAACAACTGTACTTGCAGTGAAGATATTAAATTAGTTAGCAGAATAGGATTTGACTCAAAATGATCACCTATTGTTGTGCCAAATAGTTTTCAAAATGTTCCAGTGCAGTGGTCAACCACAGCTGGAGGGTCTCACCTGTGACTCTAAGGTGGGTTTTCTTAATTCCATCTCCACTTTCTGTCATCACGTTACATGTATATTCTCCCTCGTCCTTTACAGTAGTGTTGGTAATGAGCAGGGAGACGTTCCTGTTTGTGGCATTCCAGGACGGCTCAGCAAATGAATAGCCTGACTCTGCTGTAGTGCTATCTTTGCGAAAAATCAGTAATGCATCTTCAACTCCCTCTTTCTTCCAATAGACCCAGACGAGTTTTCCATCCTCTGCTTCTTGTGAGGGTATGTAAACACATTCCAGCAATGACTGCTGGCCATATTTTCCCACAGTTTCAGCACGGACTTCCAGACGTACAAAAGCTGTAGCAGAAAATATTTTGTTATAGAGACACAAAGCTACATCAGTAGCAAACAGCATTTCATACTTGAAATTCTAAGATTACAGCAAAATGTACCTGCATGTCCAATGCTGAGATGGATGAAAGTGAGCAAAAGAAGGACACCATTTGAGGCCATGTTGATTATCTGAAATGACAAAACAAACACATACTCGTTTTAATATTAATAAGTACAAAAGGGCAGTCAAGTTCGCTATGCACCGAGTGAACAACTCCTACACTTCTCGCCCTTGTGACGTCGCTATTGTTAAACTTATTTACACAATGATAACCAATGATATTCTGCTGCATTGTTCTTCTGAAAGCACTCTTTTCATTATACCCTGAACAATGACACATGAAAGCACAAAGAGCAATATGCAGCTCATCAAAATGAATTGGTCAGTTCTTTTTTTTTTTACATTAACATTGTTTAGCAACACTTTGAAGATGGTTCTAGTTGTGTCACAAGGGACTATTTGTTCTCTCTTGAAGCATGCACTCATAGCAGTTAGTGTTTTAATGTGAACTTGCTAAAGACCAACATTCTCAGAGTTCAGGTACTGCACAGCGTGTATTGACTGCCAAACTATGGCGGTTCCTTTGGATATTTTCTTCTGCCCTCCAGCTATTTGGAAAAGATATCTCACGATCTGATTTCAATTTAGGTTTGCACGTTTGCTCCTTAGTTGCCATAGATACCTTGCATTCATGGACTCTTTGGTTGAATACACCTGGCAGACAAAAAGAGCTTAAAATGTGGGGCGTGGGGGATGAGATGATAGAATGTGTTACTCCGTTATTAAGTTACAAATTGAGTTTATTGCTGCTTGCCTAAGTTCTCCCAATAGCATAGTATACATGCATGCATAGACACAGGTGTTCCTAAACAGACCAAAGACAGGTCAGCATGTCTGCTTGTGTGTGTTTGTGTGTATTTGTGTGTGTCTCTCCCCTCTTCCCCTGATTGTCTCTTTGCTGCCTCTCCCTCAGGTGATCCCCATCCCATAATCAAGGCCTACATAAAAGCCCTGAGGAAAGCTACAGTCTCTCTCTTCCACTTCCCCTCCACACATGGCCCTGTTTTTGTGTGCCCAAGTTTTCTTTGTTGAAGAAAAAAGAGGGTTAGAGTGAATAAACTACAGATTTGATTATGGGATGGGGATCACCTGAAGGAGAGGCTGCACTGGCAGGGAGACAATCAGGGAAAGAAGGGAGAGACACACCCAAGCACACACAAGCAGACAAACTGACATGTAACACAGGTAAAAGGAAGCAAGATAATTAATTTTCTCTACATATTCATTCATATTTATAGAAACAGATACATGAGCCTTAGATTGTCAAAGCCTGCTAATTTGCAATACTTGTCCTTTAAGGGCCTAAAAACTGTAGAAAAAAACACGGAAAGAACTCTGTTTAAACTTGGGTTTGAAATGATTCTGGTTTCTGTCTGAACCTTTTACTTTTGATTTATAAAGAATGTGCCAACAGTGAGATCTTATCACCGACGCCATCTGTTTGTTCACAGGCTATACATTTTTCAAGAAGGTTGGGTATTAGATTCAGACCTGCACAGTGCCATAAATGCAACCAAAGCAGTTGCTCGATGGTAAATGGGTATCTTAATGTATTTAGGTTTGTTTTTGCAATACTGCTCTTTGTTCCTAGAAGTTTCTCATATTGTAACTGGTTATTGAACATCAAAAACCTGCTTGACCAGCTTTCCACTTTCACTTTTTAAATGTTTGTATTTACTTTCACTTGAACTAGCACTTTACTCTGCAAGAAATAAAACAGGGGAGAAAAAAGCAAAGTGATAGTGAAAGATATATCCACTTTAAAAATGAAAAACTTGAAAGCTCAAGAGTTGACACATATTAAGCAATTTCTTCTTCACTTCAGAGAGCTAAGGAACACATTTCTGTGATCATCCCTGTGCTCTTTTTTAATTTGCTTTCATAAAGTTAAGTGTTAGACCCAAGGATTGTAGCTCACTCTGTCTCTCTGCACTTGCAACAAAATTGACAAAATGTACTTTATTTTGAACTCACTCAAGTTTGAGACTTCCCACCTTGTGCCCAAACCATCCTTAAAAGGCATAGGAATACATTGTGCTGTTTTGTCCTAAGTTTGTTTCATTCAGGCGCAGCTTGTTCATCCACATGATCAAAACGGAACAGGCTTTTGCAAAAAGAAATGTGTCTATTTCCCATAACACAAAGGGGCAGGGGCAGCCTCCCATCACCAAAGCAACTTTTTTGTGGATTTTAACTCAGTCAGTCAGAGAATTCTTACTCAATCACAGTGCAAAAGAAGCACAAAATAAATATCCTAACCAAAAGCATAATTAACTGCAGCTGTTATGTGGCAGAAGCCTTTCTAAAAATCTTGGACAGGATGAATACATATCTGCACTCCCACACAACCACTTGAGGATTGAATCCAAGAATGTATCCTCTGATTGATACACACACTGGTCACATATAGGTTACAGCACATCCCATAGGTCAGTCCAACACTGAGTTATGGATATGCACTGCATGTGGGGTAACATCTAGCACATTGTGGCTTTCAACTGCAATACAGTTTATGATGGAGTGTTCTCCTGGGACGTACTGCCATCATTGTTTTCCTTATTTAAAAACATAGATAATATGACCCGAGTAGCCTGGCCTTTTTATTCACTTCCTATTTGGACACTAACTATGGTGTCAACGTCTTGAAGGCCCCTCTTTCTCAAGATAACTTGAAATGATACACACCTGAACCGTTTTCTATTCTAAACAATGGTATATGATCCTAAGTTAAAAAAAACAAGAGGTAACCATGAAGTTGTTCAAATCAGTATGACAATATTAATAATAATACTTTTTATTATTATTATTATTATTAGGGGGAAGACAGGGCTGTGAAAACAATATGGTTATATGTTCTATGCCTTAGCCATGTACCAGTACAGGTCCAATATTCAGAATGTTGACCTCTTAATAAAAAAGTATCTTTTCCTATTCCATCAACCCAGGGTTCGAGTAATAATCTGAGCTTTATGGGGGTCTTTAAAACTCACACACACACACACACACACACACACACACACACACACACACACACACACACACACACACACACACACACACACAAGCAGCCCTCTACTTGCTACAAATGAAAAAGTTCAACTACGCACACTCAGAGAAAATTCAGTCCTCACTTTCATCATTTCCTGAATTTGTGCAACTTTACCTCTGTCAAAACAGCAAAAACCATGGTGATGATCACTTTTGAAGTCTTGATAGCCCATGCAACACTCACTTCAACTTCACACAAATGGCAATTGAAAGTCCCACTAGTTAGTAACACTGCCTTCAATAAGACATTTATTCCAACATAAACTAACATACATAAAAAGAGAGTGGCCGTTAGTATTACATATAAACACATGCAATACTGCACTATTCTACCAGTATCTAACAGCAAAGGTGTCTGATGTAGCCCTGTTTTGATTCTGCAAGGCTTCTCTACCTAAACGTTTACCACTGTGTTAGTTATGGCAAAAACGTTTTTTAAATAACAAACACAATTGTGTGATTGTTATTATTATGTTAGTACAAACAGACTTCATATATCTCAAAGTGATAGAATACTTGTATTGTTTAATTTAATGTGACAAACACATTGTGTGGAAATCAAAGGCTACAAGCAACTTCATTGTGCATTGCTTATTTAAGTCTAAGTTAACAACGTTTATGGCAGCAGGCACTGTTGTGACGCTTGTGCTGTGTTGTGTATGCAAATATTGTAACTTGTCGGACGTGTCTGTTCCGTATTAGTTATCTAGATCTAGAGAATAAAAGAGGAAGCACTGTAAAACATTCATAACTTTGGTATTTTATAAAGGTTTTAGGTGTAGAAGAGTTTGGTGTCATGTTAAGTATAGCCTACCATTGGAGCTATAGGCTACTGTATTTGGAGCGAGGTTGAGCTCACGATCGAGGGCATCGAGTAGATCGAATTTCCCCGTAAATATAGAAACAATTAACACATCATTCCAGAAACATATCATACATACACTATCGTTTCCGTACGTTAAAAATACAGTATTTAAAGGACACTATGCCACTATCGAAAAACATCGAAGAAAATCCTAATGGAGGTTAACTTAGCTACATTATGTAGCAACACTTTGCCTACATAACACAACATGCCATGATGTTGCCAATATAACGCAAAATGCCACGTCAAACTCACCGCACACGCTCCTCTAGAAGGCGACTTCTCTTGTCGGAGGATCCCTCGTTTATCTGAAATCTACTCATCGAGTGTTTGCATGCTTCAAACAAACTTACTTTCTCTTTCATTCTGAATAGAGAGGCGGGTTACAGGCTGCCTACATCAACAATGGCTTGTAGGTGCTTTCGGGCAGTGTTGACACTGAACACATTTAAGAAAATAATTAAAAAGTTATTTTAACAACATTTTCTTTAATTCGAATTGCTTAAAAAAAAGCTTGCCAATATAGCCTTCATTTTACAATGGTTATCCTTTATGGATGATTCACAACTTTTCCCTGTCAACTTTATCATACATCTAAATGTTAACCTTATCTTTTTAGCTCATAACATTTTAGCTGGAGGGTAAAACTACAAAGAGCTGCAGTAAAACAACCATAATTTCTACATTGTAATCATTTAAAAAAGATACAATAAACACAGAAAACATGGTCAAAATTGTTATTTAATGTTCTTTTAACACTTGTGCCATTTCTTAATTTCAATTTTCTGCAGTGACTTACATCCAGCAACAGGAACTGATATAAGATGCAAACAGAGATATCTTGCATCATAACAGACGTTAAAAATAGACACCACAGAAATTACATTTCATGTACCTGAAATGTAGGTCGTCTGCCATGACGGCAGGCTGATACGGCAGTCACACACGTGACTCAACAAGACAGAAGCAGGAGGGAGTTTGAATTTTGGTTAAATAATGCGACAATGAAATGTATAAAAAGATTGTTTCTATAATTCCATTGAGAAGAATAATAGACAAAAGTAAAAGCAGTGTTGAACATAGAAAAAAGGCAGAGCTTTCATAAGGTCACTTTTCAAATCTAGGATGGATTTACAAGAAACACTTCATGACCAACAACATTCCATCGACCCACAACGGAAAAACTTGTTGATACATGTCGGATGCAAATCTTGAAACCCAACCTTGTTTGATGCTGTAGCCTAACACACAAAACAGGCACACTTTGTTGTAGAGTAAAATCACCTATAAAAACATGGGGCACTCAAAACCGGCACTGGGGTTACAGTTATCTAGGCCTAGTGACTACAATATAAAAAGGGCTTATTCCAATTCAGTTACCTGACATGGGACCTACAGTACTCATCTGAAGACTAATGTTTGCATCCTTCAGATCACAATAACAGTAATTTATGTGACTCCTATTTGGCTCCTTAGTGGATGATAATATAATCAGTAGAAAGATTCCAATTTCATGCAACAACAATACAACAATTATTCCACAGAAAAACAAACAGGTTAAATCAATGAAAAATCTTCACAGTTACGTTTCTTCTCACATTCATACTTTACAGACTAGACGTGCATGCAAGATGGATCAAAACTGAACACAGTGCAAAAGTGACAGCTTTTGAATTTGCTTGTGTTCTGGAAACTGCTTGTATAATCACGTACAGCTCATGCTGTCTTAAATAATCAGGGGGAGATGACTTCATATTTTGTTGATAAGAGAAATATGATCCTTGTACCCTGTCTGCCATGTCTAATGCGTAACAGGGGCAAAGGCAGACTATTTGAAACATGTCCATAGGAATACATAAAGTGCTTCTGTCAAAACAAACAAACAATAAAAAAAACAGTACAAAACGACCTTAATAAAAGAAGTATCAAAACAATGCACTTGGGGGTGTGAAGGTAACTGGTGTCTGTTGGACATCAGAAAGAATTACTGCAGTACAGGCAAATGGGACGGTATTCCTTGTTAAAAAATAAATAATTAAAATAGAGACGAGTTCAGAGATGAGTAGATGAAGGGGGTACGGGGGGTTGGGGGGGTCATTAGGGATTTATCCTAGGATGAGGCTTGACTTTCCGCCAGGGGGATTTCTACGGCCAGAGGGATTTACCCCGGCAGTATCGTCTGCTGGAGGACTCTCTTCCTTCTGTTCTGCAACCGCTTCAGGCTCCGGGGCACTGTTGTCTAAACATATGCAGGGAAATAGGCGAAAATGTATTCCAATTCAAAACATTAACAGTGGAAAGTTCACCATGGACTTGTCACAAAAATAGATGTGTATGCATGTGGTTATATGTATGTGTTTATGCACAGGCAATGACTGTATGTATGTGTACAGGTCAGGTACCATAGAAATAGAATTTTACTATCACTACTGTAACGTCTATTTCTATGACAGGTATAAACAATGTATGCGTGTTGATATTTATCCAAATGTTGTATGTAATATCGGGCCCCTGGTTTACAGTCTATAAAACCAGAGGTAAAACTGTGTGATGTGACCAGAAAATAACAGTTGCTTACCATAATCAAATTGATAATTTTCTCCATCCTAAAAGAAAAAAGAAAGTCAGAAATGAATACACGTGGCCTTTGCGGGACAATAAGGGAAGATGAAGACAGACAAATATATATTCTTCTTCTTTTGCTTCCCTATATATTTGCTTGCCCTAAGGTTTCACTTCATTTTTAACTACCAAAGCTCATGATCTCATGCATGATCTTACGGGATTGTCTGCGGAGGGGCTGCTGCCCTGGTTCCCTCCTCTCCTCCGGGGGGCTGACGGTTCTCCACAAAGCACACCTGTGGGCTTCCCACCTGGAAGAACAAGGACACATGATTGCTCAGATTAAAATGCCATTACACAGTAAACTTTATCAGGTTCCCTATGAAAACTGAGTTTGAATCTAGGAAAAATGGCACCAAATTCATGATGAGGGAAATTTGAGTGAGTCCTGTTACTCTGTGGCGCGAGTCTGCTGCTGCAGATAGCAGACACTTTCAGCTTTAGTGTGATTACAGACACTTCGTCCAAAAATATAACAGTATTAATTACAGTATGAACCTAAACCCAAATGTGTTCTCAAATCATCTGTAAAGTGTTGTGACTGCATCTTGTATGGTTGGACACTATTGCAGTGACAAAATATAAACACCTGGCAAAGAACTTGTTTTTTCTCTCCAATGTAGTTCCCACTACAGCAGTGGTTTCCACATCCACATCTTGCCATGAGGACAAACACAAAGACTGACAAGCTAAAACTAAAAATCATACATTGCTCTAATGCAGGGGTGTCCAAACTTTTTTCACTGAGTGCCACATACAGAAAAATATACGAAGGGCTGGGCCAGTCACTAGGTGTACATTGCCTCATAAGTTAGGTTATACGTCAGGAAAATTGATCAAATGTAGGTCAATTATGCTTGATACTTGAAAATGACTTAAGAAAAAAAACAGCCTATATCACAGGTCTCCATAGGATTTCATTTATTTTGTTGGAAGCTCATCCCTCAGTTTGCTTATAATAAGGGGAAATAAGAAGGGTATATTTCAAGCTAGCTGAATATGCAACATTTACATTGAAGCTTAAGCTCCATTAACAGGGCATTTGTTTTGGTTATCAAATGATCACAGGAAATAAAGCTGTTTCTACAATCTTTTCAAAAGACTAAACAAAAGCACTAATGTCCTTCAAATGTCAAAATGAAATGCAAGAGCATTGCCTCCGGGTTGTTCCATGGTATGAGGTATTTCCCAGAAACGATTAAAACACAACTGGGGATATTGTTTGTGGGACAAATGCAATCCACTGACCTAATTGGATGACCCTCGTACGCAAGTTCCTCCTACATTTACTCCTTCATTGTCTTTTTGTACTTTCCATTTTGGAGGTTCCACTTTCTTATTAAATGGGTTTCTGACAATAACTCACATGGTCTAATAAAAAAAAAGAAGAATTCCATTTCCTTTCCTGCTGCTTTTTCTTCATGTCTGTTTTGGCTTAGTTTTTGATCCTAGGCTTATTTCCGGTCCTTATCTAAACAAGGCCAGCCAATGTTAGTGTTTCCTAGATATAAACCACACATGGACCACTTAGGTATATTAATTGCCTCCCAAGTATATTTGGAGATCCATTTGAACTTATTTTTCTTATCCGCACAACATGTAGGATTACCCCACAATAAACTACTGAGGACTGCATCACCGCATAATGGACGGAGGCGTATTGCCCCCAAAAGGTCAAATAGTTTTTGGAGCACGTTTTTCTCATGAGCTGAGAATCTGGAATTAATATAATGCAATCTTTATTTCTTGGTGGGATCCATGCCCTTGACACTGTATGTTTCTATTGTAAATGCATCTGGGTCACACTTGTATACTGAATTGGTAGATTAGATCATACCATTTAAATGTCTCCTTTTGAAATGTTTGAAATGTCCTTCCATCGACCCACAACATTTTTCAAGTAGGTCCTGCTGACAGACTTTGAATTTGGTTTTAAAAGTAAGCTATATTTATATATTTACATTTGATGCTCAAATCAAACTTTCTGGTCTGCAGGAACTTTATTTGTATTGTCAACAGTGAAGTTAATGGAGGTTAAAAGTAAATAAGTACATTAACCCAAGTGCTGTCTTAAAATCTGTTTTTAAATACTGATTTTAACATTAGCAATTCCTTTTTAATTTTTTACAGGAAAATGCGGTATATTTTTGTTCACTACTTTCCACATACAGCGTTTGTTTGAACAGTAGATGAAGGCCTCATTTGTGTGAGAATGTGTTTATAAAGTGAAAATAAAAGCAATATTATAAGGTTTCGTATTGTGTTTGAGGAAATTGGTTGGTTAAAAAAAGAAACTATGATCCTAGTCGTAAAAGACTTAATTACAGTCAGGACAAAAGCTCATTCATGTAATGAGGGAAGTAAGGAGGAAGAAGGAAATGTCAGGGGGAATGTGAGGAAGCTTCAGTAGGCGTTCAGCCTGTTACCATGTAGAATTCCCCTAAATATCCTCTGTAGGAGTTTAAGACTTAGAAGAAAAACATACTTTTACTATTACATTTGCAAAAGGATGTGCCCCCTCCATGTAATACTTTGATGTTGGATTTTACAGCAATAAATACATAGGCAGTACCCACTGTTCTGAGTGCATAGAAAAGTCAACCTTTATAACTTTGACATTACTTTTGACTCTTTAAAAAAAAATTACATTTGATTTAAAAAGATGAAATGAGTGCCTTGCTTGCAGTAATTTATTGAATCAAAACAACTGATTCAAGATATTTCTTTATTCTTGCCATCACACAGCTCTAGCAAATATGGCCGTAGACAGATGTTGGGATTAATGGAGAAACACCATTGACTGAATATCTACTGATTGAAAGAGAAATCAACTCATCATGTGAGCACCTAAAACATGTCATGTTAAGAAGAAGCGCTGGGCACAGCAAATATTATTCCTATGTATTCAGCTGTCTCAGGTTTTGACTAGCATTCTCTACTTTGTTTGTCATCGCCATTGGGTGTGTGTGTTCTGCTTTAGTTTTTTAGTCACACCATCCGTAAATGTTTTGATAACTCGTCAAAATAAAAATGGGGAACTGAAAATGACTAAATAAGCTTAAATATTTAGAGAAGAGATACATTGTACCTGGTGGGTTGTTCCTCCGATTAGCATAGAGGTCCTCTGGCTCAGCGAAAACACTGGAGGCCATCTTGTTTTTCCGGACGGGAGGCTTATCCCCATCTGGACCAAGTGAAATGTTTGAGGCACCGCCAGGAGGGCGCAAGATCCTGCAAAGAGAGAGATGGTCAGAACTGTTCCTGAAAGCTGGATCACACTGGCTGATTGTTCTGGAGAGTCTTTTCCCAGATCCTAAATGAATGTAACATGTTTGAACCTAATGCTGTGGTTTAGACTAATGATGTGTAGAATTAATCAGTGAGAAATACTTTTTTTGTTTACACCAGTACACTTGTGTCAATAAACAAAGGTTAACATTTTTGTTAAGCATAATTTAACAACTTGCTACCCTAGGTAAAATGTAATGACTTAATCTGTCTATCAGATGTTTCAACTCATCAGAGTGGATGTCGAGTATCTTTGTCTCGACAGCCAGACTCAAGTGGCGAGGAAAGACCAGTTGGTCCCTGCCAAAATAAAAAGGTCACATCAAACACGTCATTAATGTTTCAAATTTAAGTTTAAGTGACTAAAGGAATACAAAAGCATTTCCTATAATGTGTCTATGTGTGTTTTGAATGTGGGCTACAGCTGTTCCCCTGAAAATATGAATTATGTAAACAATGAAATGTGATTATTAATGCAGAGGATTTGGATACTTTGTAAAACCAATTTATATCAGCAAGGGTAGAATTATATTTAAAAAAAAGACTTATTAGTATAATGCAACACAGTCAACACCACCCAAACCAGAGCCTTGAAAATCTTTACTAGGTAAGTGCAGCAATATTGCATTATACCCCTGAACTTGGTGTGCCTGATAAACTAAGACAAGACAACTAAGTATTGGCTATATACTTTAAGGTGGCAATTGTACTGTTTACATCGTTATTTTTATATCAATGTTGATAATTTAATAAATAACTAATTGACAAAATAGTAATTGCATACTGTAACATTGGCCTAGTGTATAATTTAACAATGTGACTGTCTAGATATGATTGAAAATGCACCTTCTTAACCTCATAAATCACTACAATCTCAATCGTTCATTTATTCTTCGAGATATCACCGGATGTGGGATTAATTTCCCTGCATCTCTATGTTGAAAAATATACATGTGGCCGGGTTATTGTCAGGTGTAGCCAGCTGTAACATGGCCCTCGCCTCAATGCGGCCACATGCAGGGAAATCTGAAAGATGTCTTATTATACTTCACTGGTCTCCTCGATCACTGATCTGAAAACCACGGGGGCCCCACCCAAGCGGAATGACACCCCATACATATTTAGTTTTCAGACAATAAAAACGTAAAATAGAAATATATCATTATTAAATTGAGCTGTCCATTAAACAAACGTGTTAGCGTTGTCTAGTCTGCACGAGCTAGCTAAGAAGCTTCTCTACAAAAGAGAGGGCACATGTGTGCTATGTTGCTAACGTTAAAAAATGGTCCATCCCGACAGACACAACGGGAAGGTGTGGTACTAAGATTTTTCCTAGCATCTCCGCCCCATGCTTAATTTCGAGCATTTCGCGTTGGAAAAGCAATAATTACAGGAAGGGTTCGGGAAATTAAAAGTCTTCATTTTGAGGTTAACCCATGTTACGTTAGCGTTGATGATAACGTCAGAGGATGCTGGACTTGTTGGCATCATGTTGGCTAACGGGTAACTGTCTGAACGTCGTCTTTTACCTGGAACTGCTTTTAGAACCAGGCTCCATCCCTTGATATATTTTCGTCGTCGTCATTATGTTGCACTAGGAGTCGTTAAATATGTATAAATCTGAAAAGATACACGCGAATTACACTTTCATTAGCTGCACTTCACCGCCTCATCATTGTCTATCCTAGCCAGTGGTTCCAAATAATCACCCTGCTTCCAGTCTGAGAGCACCAGTGTGCAAGTAACCAGAAGGAGGTGGTTCACTTCCGCTCCAATTTTCAGAATAAAACATATTGGCCTGTTAAATAAAAGGTTAGGGCGATTTGTTTATCATCATATCAAATGTGTAATGCATTTAATTACGCAGTGCATCATTGGAGATTGATAGGTATTTCTCTATTATCCCGTACTTTTGTGAAGTGACGCATTTTGATTGTAATTTGATGGCAAACACATCGCGTATCCGGTCTGTCGGTGCTCATTTCTGGCAGTTCTTCTTAGCATATCCAAAGATGCTTTGGTACCCTATGTTTGGTACTAGGGATGCAGTAAAATAATCCATGGGTTTGATATTTGGTTTGACACAGAAGTTACTGTGTTTAAATGGCATTTCTAATCTTCAGCCTACGTACCACCAACATGTGATATACTACTCTATGATTGGATCCGGGTAAATTCATTAAACAAAGGCATACTTTTGGATTATTCTCCTGTCTGGCGCCCACATTAATTTGATAACTGGGGAACAAACAGATTCTACTCATTTACCACACAAGGATTATTGATAACTACCATGGGATTACACTCTTTATTGGAAGCAGGTGCTCCTTTCTGGCTCAGTCTTATTTCGCAGGAGTGATAAATAACAGGCATTGAAACTTTGACAGGCCTGTTTGCAGAAGAAGTGCTGACTTGCAGGGCTTACTGTATTGTAGTAAAAGTAGAAAACAATAATCAAACTTCACCCCCTATACTACATATGACAACATTAAAACTACCTTAGTTTGACCCTGAACATTACACTTTTACACAATCTCTGGTAAAGCGGTTAATGGTTTCTGATCATTTGCATTCTATATGTAAAAAGGTGGTTAAACATATCCATAAAAAAACGGTGACACTTGTTTAAAAAAAACCCTCAATTTATTCCAATAACACATTTTCATAACAACAGATGTGAATTTTAACGGCAGGCTTTAATTGACAACATAATAAAATTCCACCTGAATCAGAAACTCAATGACATAAGTATAAAAACAAAAAAGGACCAAGGAGTTTTCTTTAAAACCTCCAGAAATAAAATCAACATGGCAAGCTTTTAAAATCTCTAGCACATTAGTCTCACTGCAGCTTACACTGCAAAGTTCAGACATGTTAACATAAGAATGACATTATGGATGAACCTATTAACTGTGCCGCTGCCTTGGAGCATTTTGTAAAAGTATTCCACTGGATGGTATCAACACTGGTCATGAAGATTTGAAGATTTGAAGATTGGGCATAACAAAGATGTTCAGGGATGAAAAGGGGAGGTAGGGATGTTTGTAGGAAACAGTCTTTAAAGAGAAAAGCCACCGGTTTGCTGTTGGAACACATCAATCGTATCTTCATCCTCCATTTCTAGCTGCAAGACAAAGTTCAAATGTCAGTTAATAGTCTGTAAGTATTCAAATCAAAAGACAAAAAAATAATAATAATTCAAGTGCTTCTACTTAACTGACTTAGCGTGGAACAATATATTTTGTGAGTATTACATACTTGACACATTAATGCCTTATTAAAGCATTTGACAGAAGTAGCTCAAACTTGACAGCCGCTCTGTTAGTGCTGCTGTCAACTCAGTTTGTTTCATTTTTTCCCTTCATTAGTTGGACTCTGACCTTGTTTATCTGAACTGTAACACATTACATATGCTTGGAAGGGGATGACGCAAAAGTAGGAAAACCGTCAGGACAGCCTCACTATAAAAAGTAGCTTTACAGCAGGTGTTCAGAGGACTTTGTTTACTTTGTATTCCGCATTTAAGAATGACGTTATTTGGTTTTCAGAAGGACCTTTAGACCTTTTAAATCCTGTCGCCTCACCACATGCTTTTCTTGAAATACTTATGTTTTTACTGGAAAGAATAGCTATAACAAAGAAAACAGTCAGAAAAAGTCCAAAGTAGCAGTACTGCGAGTTAGTAAGGTGAAAAGCAGTGAAACTTTACCTGCGAGGGTGTGTCTGTTTCATTGATGGGCTGACCGTCGAATCGAAATCGTATCTGCCTCATTGACAGCCCCTATGTGGACAGAAAGATAAATGTTATGTTAAAAATATTGAAAGGAAACATTATGGGCACCCTAGTGACTTAAGTGCAGACCATGAGCTGCAAAATGAAAGTTAATGTTGCAAAGCTATCATGTCTTAGTTCTTTGAGAGCCCCACTTTCATTGTTGTTACACGTTTATGCAACAAATATAGAAAAATTAGCAAGCCAAAACCGCAAAGTACCATAAATGCAATAACAGAATTGACTTTGCAATGTTTTGTTTACATCATTTTTTGATTCAATTTAATTAATTAAGACAATAGAAATATGAGATACGATAAACTGAAATGCACATTTTAGAACAATGGAGTTAGGCGAATAATTGTGATGAGCATTACCATTAATGAAAAAAAACACATAAGCAATTATGTTCTATTGCCCCTCCCTCAGCTGAGTCCTTGGTCTACAGTTTAAAACCACCATTCAGGCTACCAGCAATGCAAAGTTAAATATGACATATTTGGAGGAGTTGTAGTAATTGTGTTGTAGTCTCACCTGCCGTTCACAATAAGCTTTCATCAGTTTACTGAGAGGAGTGTGCCTTTTAATCTTGAATTGCACCACTGAGCCATCCTGCCCTGCCACCTTCAGGTTGATGTGCTCATTGCTCTCAGTCTTCACTCCCTCCTAAAAAAAACAGAAACAGAAGTTTAACGTTAGGTAAGGTTGATTTAAGTGATTTAAGGAAATTACAAGATGCTTTGTCAACTGTGGACTCCAACATGTGCAATGAGACCCCCTAACCAAAACATTTCTCCCCTGGTCAGACTATGTAAGATTGATGTACATTATGTACCGCAATTAATTGTGCCAAATGTATGTATAAAGTTATCCTATTATGTGTGTGATTTATATTTGTACCACAGTTTAAGTTACATTAGCTTTGACTGGACTGGGGATTAGCTAGCACTGAAAAAGGAGCAACATTACAACTTCAACGTTAGCATTTAGCATTAGCATTAAACAAATCAATCGAGAATGGCCTACAATGTATAACAATGCTTAATGGGGTAGTCAGAGTGGTAAATAACAAATTACACGTATTAACAACCCTGTAATCCGGACACACTCGGGCGCTTGCTGGTGATGATTATGATCATTTCATACGAGATCCGCTGATAGTTAACGGTTTGTATCAAACAATTGATTTAGGCCCGGTGCTGCTGTGCACTGCTCCCCAACGTTACTCGTTTTTCTTCGGTTCTTGCAAAGGTTACCTGGACATGTAGTGACTATATCACAAGTGGCATTTATGATGTATTGGTTAAATTGTATCCAAAAAAGCTCTGGCAATTATTTTACATTTCAAACAGCCTCAGGCACATTAGCCATGTTAGCCTATTATGCTAACTTCGCCCGCTTGATAGCTAGCTGCTAGCTAACGCGGTTGCTCTGGTTTGTGCTTTAACTATGCGAGTGTTGACAAATTCGCCTCAGATGTGGCATTTCAGTGAACGGTCTACAACTATGGCATATGGATTGCTGTAAATAAAAGCCGGTAGAAAATAAGCTCCTCACCTTAGGTTTTTCGTCTGCCATGGCTTCTGCTGTTGCTGCGTCTGTCTGCCTGCGCCTGTTATGCTGCGACTGCGCCGTTTGTCCGGCGCGCCACTTTGCTTGGGTTGGTGCACACAACCAAAACAACTGAGCGCACTTTTAATGTAATGTATTAAAGATGTATTTCCTCTGCATGGACCCTGTGTTCAAATCTTGGCAGAAATTAAATAGGAGGCTACTTGAGGAATACAAGTATAGCCCACTGCTTTGAACTAAATTGATTTGATGGTCATAGTTATTTGTTGCTTGTCAGATTTACATTTAAAATAAGACTAATATGACCAAATACCAACAAGTAATTAAATACTGACAATTATCTAAAACTTGACCAGCAATAATATCAACATTGCAGATGTTAATGCATCATCAATACCAATCCAGGATTTTGATAAAGAATATAATAATGACAGGGATCATTCTGCTACATGTAGATCTTTTTTTAATTTCTTACCTGTAATAGTTAAAGTATTATATAAGTGAACATACACCTCAACAACATTATGGGAAATGAGCTACTGCATTAATATTCGTCCCTGCACACAATTAAAACAAGCACCACAATGAAAGCAAGTAATTGTTTTGTAATCAGGTCCTTTTAACTTCACACTTATTTAGGGTTTATAACCATTTTTAAATACATTTTCAAATAAACTAAAAAAATAAAATGTGGACACTGAAAAATTACACAAAAATACATGATAATTTAATACAAACATATCTATTTCATTCTTTATTTTCCCATGCACAGAACGTTTTTCAAAAAATATGCAATGACAAGTTCATTATGACAATAAAAAACAAATAAATCGTTTTATAAGAAATATGCAGAGACTCTCCTGTCTAGCACTAAAATCCCAGAACTCACAAAAATAAAGGAGTCACAGTTTTTGATGAACACATTATAACCACAATGCTTTAATTAACCATCAAGGTTTAACTATTGATACACAGTATTTTTCTCATTGCTTACGTAAATATAGAAATATATTCCTAGTTTGATATAGGAAACCCCCACAAAAGCTAAACATTTACAGTTGACCAAGAGCAAATACCCCAGCTCTTTAGTTTGGTTTCCACTACATGGTCTAACAGCAGAAGCAAGGGCGAAGCTTTGCAGAGCACTCAGTTAACTCAAGCAATATTTGTTTGTCTCCAGCAATTGATTTGTTAATTGGTCAGCACTTCCTAAAGCTTGTCCACTTAAAGTATACAATTGATCCCTCTTCCTATTATCTCTTGTTGCACCCAATAGGTAAAAGGGGCTAATGTGTCTGGCACAAGCTTGCCAATTGAAAAAATACATTCTTATATTAAAATGCTATCAAGACTGGACAGCCTTGACATGTAACAAGTTACGTAATTCCTTCAGTAACATATTTTGTCTGAATATTTGGTAACATCAGAGCCTCTTTAGATAGCCCACTACTGATCTGTGCCTTTCATACTGCAATACTGAAAGTGTTCATCATAAGATGTGTATGCAGAAGGAATACAGCTGTCAATTTCAATACCGTACGGGACAGTAACAGATTTGACAATTTCCTCCCAAACTAAAATAAATAATACATTCATGTCAATAAATACTTAAAGACTAAAAAACACAACAAGTCTAAGCTAGGAGTTTGTATAGAACTCAGAAGACAAGTAAAAGTATTCAGTAGTTACTGTGAGGCATATTGAAGAAAGTTAACTAAGATGAACAATTCCTAATGAGCCAATCAGGGAGGGCCTCTCATTTAGCAACAGAGGGGCTCTTGTCTGCTTCAGTCCAATGTCTCCAGCTTGAAACCATGTTATCATACACAGACAGCAGCAAATCATGTGTAATGCAGGTTGTGATCACATGTTCATATCACCCTGGTTCACAATATCCTTTGACATTTGATTTTGCTATATATCAAGACTGTCTGGCATTGAGGGGAAGTAAATAGGAACATTTAATGAGAGAAAGAAAAAGTATATTAATACATGTCAAATCCTAAAGGATAACGTTTAGCAATATTTACCTTATCAATGTTTTTCACAATTAAACATCCTCCATGTTTAACTGCTCCAAAACATTTGTTACTGCACCACATCAACTACCTCTGGCCATGTTGTCGCGTTTTAGTTGGATGTATGTGTATGCTACAGGCCTGGCTACTTCAATGGGCCATCCCAAGCGAAATATCTCTTTCAAGGTCCATTGAACTTTGCAGTAATATGTTGTATTTCTCCAATTCTCCCTAAAAACAATTTTCCAATACCGCCCTTCTCTTGACCTTTGAGCTACACTGACAAACTAAATTGCTAAAAAACCTGTAGTGTCGGTAGGCCGAGTTATAGAGCCCCCCATCTGTCAGCCGGTGGAAACTCATTCACCTCCCCCACTTCTGAGTGTGGCTGCTCTCCCAGCGTGAATGTCAGTTTGTATCTCATCCGAACCTTTTCCTGCAAAACACACACACGCACACACACACACACACACACACACACACACGTGGACACACTTAGCTTTGCAGGTTTCGTTTGCTTGCTGGAGCACACAAGAGCAAGTGTAGTGTTAATGTCAGCGGTCTTTATATCCTCAGTATACTGTTTGGCATGTAAGACTGTTAGAAAATGGTAATAGTATCAAGCCTAACACCGGACCAGACCGGAATACCGAATTTCACCACTAGGTGTCACACTCGACTCAGCAGCCACCTGTGACTTCTGTTCCTGCAGTGTTAACACGTTGCCTCGTCTGGCTCGATGTGATAGATCGAGACCCTTCTGAAGTAAGACAGTGTTCTTTGAAATAAGTATAAAACATACAAATAGCTCCAGGCTAAGATTTACCTTGAGAGGATTTGCAAGCAGCATGACCTGAGTGATGGCAGCAGGTGGAAGGATCGGGTTAAAAGGAGCCAGCTCTGTCCCTGAGGGTGATTGCAGTCTCACTTTCATCGTCTGGTGGTAGCAGAACAGATTTCCATATTCATTAGAAAGATGTAGCCACCCACAATAATTTCATTTTAGGTCAAATATTGAGTTTATGTCTCAAACATCTGCCAATGTGAATTTTGTATATATAAATGCACACAGCGTAGCTTGATATGCAGTAACATTTTTATCACAGAGGCACAGAATGGTTTACCTTGGGTACAGCAGCCTGCAGAGCAATGTTCCTCACTGGCAGAGGGGCGGTGTTAAGCATGGAGGCCACCATCACCAGTACATCAGGTCTACCTGCTGGACTGTCAGTGGCGAAATGCAGCAGAACACGGACCCCGCTTTTGTCATATGCTGTAACGGGACACATTTTACCTAGAAAAAAAACAGCACACAAAGGGGAAAAGCAAAATGTGATTATTACAAACATTTTACCAAATCAAATCAAGTTTTATTTATATATCACATTTTTAAAACGATTTTTGGTCGAGCCAAAGTGCTGTACATATAATAATTACCTTACAGTAAGGACACTATACAGTAAATACAACAGCACCGTTTGTGCAGAATATCAGTATGAAAAAACGACGTACCAAGCTTAGTCTTTATAAATAAACAAGCTCCTACATTTACCATCTTACTGAAGGTAGGTTCTGACGCAGGTCTTTAATTTTGCACCTGATATAATAAATGCTTTCAGACCCTAATGAACATGTTTTCTAGTTTCACAAAATTGCCAATGTCATCACCAAGGGGCATTATTGGCTACAGCTCAACTTTCCATCCATCAAATGTTCTCAAAAAGCGGAGGGTTTTTACTTTCTATTGCCTTTTTTCTGATATTCAGAGTTTATCAAATTACCTCTACTATATTCATATGAACTTTTCCTTCAAGCCTTTTCAATCTCTTTACCCTCTCCACAGGGAATTCTATCAGGTCTGGGAGACCGGCCAAAGATGTTCCTTTAAGACTAACAACCAATTCCAATAAGTATTTTGGTACCCCAGTAATGCATTTTTATACAGCTTTAAAGATTGTAAAGCCTATTGCAAATGTACGACTGGGCGGCCCACCTGTTTGAACACTACAATCTGCAGACAGCCGGACACATTCAATCGGTTGTATTTGTTTTCTTCGCCAAGGAGATAAAATGTGCTCTGAAGTGTGTCTGAAGTGTGTCTTGCATTGGACAGGGCGTCCAATGCAAACCTTATTCTCTCTCTACCTCTGAAACATTGTGAAAAATATTTGGCCATTTCAGTGAAAATGTAATTTTCAGATATAATAGACCCCAACACATCTGAGGTTTTTTTTCTTCCACACACACACGGCTGAAAAAGCAATTTCCTCTCAAACGTTTGTCCGTCAGCCCTATCCTAAGTATTGTGCTGAAGAACATCAAAATCCACTGGCACACACACACAAAAACCAATGCACTTATTATATGGTACTCACTTGGCTTGATGGCCTCCAAAGGGACAAAGACATTGGCCAGGGACACCTCTTGGCTCAGAGGGAGGACGGGGGACAGCGAGCGTAACAGAGGGCTGTCATCTGCCTGACTCTTGGCCGGGGGGGGAATGGACCCTCCTTGCATCACTTCTATGAGGGACGTGTTGGAGAGACTGGAAGAGGGGAGAGCAGGAACAAGCAGATCCTCGCTCCTGACCAGAGAGCTGCCAACGTCCATCACCCCCGATGTGCTGTGTGGATAATTCAAGTCTTTGTCAAAGATATAACAGGTCCCATAATGCCTCAACATATACTGTCAGACAAACATTGGTAAAAAAAAACAAGATCAAAAGAAGCAAAACAAACACTTTGCAACCAGGTTTTTTTAGACATTGGTGGAATGCAAAAACATTTGATTTTACTCCAATGGAAAACACATTGTTTTGAACACAATGGCACTTAAACGCTCAACAGTATTCTTCAAAGCTTTCACAATTCTCCGCTCTGCAGAGAAGGTGATCGGCTGCAATCTGCCATCCCTCCACGACCTGCAGGACTCCAGGACCCTGAGGGAAGATAGTGGCCGACCCCTCCCACCCTGGACACAAACTGTTGGCTGCGCTCCATCGGGACCAGAACCTCTCGCCACCTGAACATTTTCTTCCCCTCCGCTACCGGCCTCTTAAACAAGGCCCGGCCCCCCCGCTGACACTTTACCTCTGCTCTGCCACATCATTGACTATATGCATTACATTAATGCACACAATGTCATACTCCTTTCTGCACATATTCTGATTTCACATTTCATAGTTTATATGCACAAATTCATTCATAGCATTCTATTTCCATGTAAATTCCTGCTTTATTTTGATTTTATTGCTATTTAACTGTATTTTATTCGGTGTAAAATATTTTGTGTTTTATATTAGATTTCTTGTTTTTTTATATTTTATGTATGCACCCAAGTCAAATTCCTAGTGTGTGCGAACCTACCTGGCAATAAACCTGTTTCTGAATTTACTATCTGTTCTCAGCCATTTTTACAATACTGCTTATTTAGTGGAGGCAATGGAGTCCTGCCAATCACTCTGCCTTTTGGAAACTTATGATTGAAAGCAGTTGAAATGTCAAACTGTTGAGCATCTCAATAGACAAAAAAGTGCCTTTAAAATGTAGACCCCCATGCAGGCATCAGACTAAATATAATCCAGCATCCAATATATTATGAGTGACAGATAGACAGATTGCTGCTGACCTATGTTCCCGCAGGAAGACCTTTCAGACTGCCACAAGTCCCAAGCGCAGTTAAACTGTTAAATCAATAGATAAGGATGGGGGGGCCACACCCTTGCCCTGACCCTTGCACGATTTAAACATTTATCTTCGGAATTTGCGCTGAACTGTATTTAATTGCATGTGATCGAACTTCAAACTCTACAAATGTGTCTACTGTTTCTTACTTTTGCTTATTTGTAAATCGTGTTTTGGGTTTTTAACCATTTCCACCCTAGTTTTTCCTCATGACACACGCATTACTCACATTTTAGGACTGCCCAGATCCAGAAAGCCAAAGTCTTGCAGATTGTTAATAAGAGAAGTTGAAGTTGTGTGGGACGCTCCATTGGAGTCCCATTGTGGAGAGACCGTAGTGGCTGAGGAAGCAGGCGGGGCCATGATGAAGGACTGAGGAAGAGCAGCAGCCGGTGCTGTGGTGGTCAACACTGAGCTGAGAGGCTGTGGGAATATGATTGATGTTGTTGAGACGGATGCCGTAGAAACAGGAGGAGTGGAGAAAACAGGACCAGGGAAGCTTAATGCAGAGGCTTTTGTAGAATAATTGGCTGAGATTCCTGCAACGGTCACAGAAAGAGCGTCTGGATAAAGTGAAGATGTAGAGAACGAAGGCAAAGTGGTGTCAAAGAAATCCAAATCTTCACTGGAATCCTGGAAAACACAGCAATAAAAAATACTGCTATTACCATTAAAATAATAGTCAAAAGTACATTTCAAAAGGTTGCTAGTAAAATTGAACTGTGCCTGTGGGTATGTATGTATTATTATGTACAACTCTTTGTATTTGTCTTATGATAGCTAAAATTGGATGACCATTTTAGTTTTCACTTCATATAGCACTGAAAATAGCATGCAATTATGAGCTGTTTTGTTTTTGTTTTATGTATGTTTTGTGTGTGTGAGGACACAATAGCCAATGCTCATGCTAGTGCTAATGGGGATCCTAATAAAGAATAAGAATAAGTCAACATTAGTCCAAATTATTGCAATTAGTTTAAATACCTGTAAAAAGGACAAATCATTCCCCAGGTTTACTGGCGTTGATTTACTTGGAACAGGAGCGGGTTCATTCAGGCCTGTAAATGAATACAAAAAAGGTTATTTGTGAATCTAAAGAGTTCTTGTCTAAAGCTGCCATGAAGAAAAACATGATATTGCATGTTACCTAAAGATAGTAGCTCTTCATCCAGCAGACAGAGGGCTACAGAGGGGCCACTGGGGCTGGGGGGACTGAGGGTCTGTAGCAGCAGNTGGAAATCAGGTTGCCAGAGCAGGTCAGTCCAGTGTGCATGTTCCTCAGGGTCTCAGCAGTTACAGGTGAGGTAAAGAAAATAAAAGAGAAAAAGGTCAATAACAACACTTTAAAGTAACAACACTGAATTGACCTTTTTCTCTTTTATTTTCTTTACCTCACCTGTAACTGCTGAGACCCTGAGGAACATGCACACTGGACTGACCTGCTCTGGCAACCTGATTTCCACTGTACGTAATAGTATTTGGTTATGGTATATTATTTATATACATCAAAGGCACAATGCACCCCCCAGAGACACACATGTATTGAGTGTGATATTTTACATTTTCTCTACAATTACACAATTTACCTCTGAATTGTAGTGGGGTAAGTACTAAGTAACATACCATTTACATACTCAACTAAAGCACAAGTAGGCTATTTCTAAATCACAAGTACAGTATTTGAGTATACAAGTTAGCCTATTTCCCACCTCTGGTCAACAATGTTAGATCTTTATGTCAACTTACTAATAATATATCTTGAGTATTATCATAAAAATAGCATGTTTATTTATTTTAACAAACCACGTTCTCCAAGTAAAATCTATAGAACATATAATGTTTAATCTTTTTGAAAAATAGAGATCGGACCATCAGTAACAGATCATCAGTCTTGTGTACAGATCAGTTCGATAAAGCAACATTTTACGCGATAAATACGGGTTTAAATATCAGCATTTGCCACGGAAGGCGAGTGGCAGCTACCGTAAACCTTCTCTTAACTCT